ACAATGATGATGACGATAATGATTCCAATGACACGGATGAATCCGATGAGGTTGTCACGGGTTTTCCCACAGACATTCCAGTCACTGTACCATTCCCCCCATTCCCTTTCACCCGGGGAGACAACGCCGGCAGAGGCGACAGCGTGGCCTACAGGATGAGGGCAAAGGCCGCACTGGTGAAGTCTATCAAACTCCGCAAAGATGCAAAAAAGGTAAACAGCACTGAGCAGTGGTCCCCATGGTTTTGGAAATGGGTAGTGAACTTGAAGATGGACATGTTGTTTTATGGGAGTCAGCTTTGAGAAGAATCGGTGAGGGGAAAGCAGGCATGAGCGAAGGAATCTATTTTCCCTTGTCTGGATACCCCAAATCAGGGGCTGTTGATGGTGCCAAGGCAAGAGTGTAGCCTGCTGCTGCAAGATATGCAACACTGCAATGATGTACTCACACACATGAAATCTGAGGACAGGATCAAATGTTAATTTCTCATAATGTGAAGGGTTCACATAACTCCACAAAAGTTAGTGTTTCCAGGCAGAGATTTACCATGCAAGCTTTGAGTGTCCCCTCAGCCTAAGCAGCTTTAGTGCAGTAGGGCAGCACTTGTTGATAGATAATTTCCCAGGAGTGACAGTGGCTCTTGTTTTGCTCTCTAACACAGGTCATGTATGATGCCACTGTGGAAGATGAGAGCGATCTGGATGCAGACAGCCAGTGAGCAGGGTTCTCCCAGGAGGATTCTGCTTCCCGCTGCTCCCTGGAGAAGCATGCCATCAGTGATGTATCTTGAAGCAGCATCGTCATTGAGGAAACCTGCTGAACTCAGCCTTTGGGTATTAAACCCCTTGAGGAAGCCACCTTACCTCTTCCAGAGCTGTGATCTCCTCCTGCCCAATTTCACTATCATGCTACTGCTTCAGGCCAATGAAGTTGCAAAGAACTGCTACAATGCTTCTTAAAAGAAGTCTAAAAACCAATTATGAGCTTTGAGGAACCATTTGAAGGGGCAAGCATTAGTCCAAAGGCATCTTTCACAGGTTTAGAAGCTGGGTACCGCAAACAGGGTGTTGGGCACCAACCTTTAGCACTGAGCTTAAAAAGGAGTTTTGAACTGTATGTTTTTAGGTACAGAGCTTGACACCGACTGTGCAGAGCAGGCCAAGTGGTGCCCATCACCAATAGCTCTGCTCAGCACACAGATACTTTCATGGCTGTGCAGGGACAGCAGGGGCAGCCCGGAGAGGCACAAGTCCCCCTTATAACACCATGTTTTTTCAGAAGAGGGCAAAAGCAGACTGCCGGAGGGAGAAGCTGAAAGCAGTACCTCTCAAAAGAAGAGGAACACAGCTATAGAAGAATAATGATTTTTCCCCTCACCTCTTGTAGTTACTCAGTGCCATCATCCCGTGCCAAGGAGCAGGGACTGAGATGGACTGAAATACCACCCAGACCCCAGCAAACCCCTCCTCCCAGTGCTCAGCCTTCCTGCTAAGCTGACAGCCAAACCTGGGCAACTGGAGGGACCCTGAGCACATCCAGATTTTTGGAGGATGGAAGATGCTCCAAAGCCTCCATCCTTTGCCAAGAGAAGCACTTAGTGCCATTGAGAAGGGTGCAAATCAGTCTCAGCAATAAGAAACCTACCTGAGTTTTTCTTCTGCAGAACAAGCCACTCACTACTGCCTCCCACCAAGGGCTTCAAAAATGTTTTTACTTAATTCAAACTGTCTCAATATGTATTTCTCTAATAGACCATCCACCAGCACTTCCCCGTTAAGAGATTGGGAAATGTATTCCGAGGTCACAACCATTGCTATAGTCAAGCAAAGGCACAATTTGACACATGAATTGCAATGCAATTCTCAGTGGGACTAGTAAAAATTATTATAAGTGAATATTATCATCTTTTTGGGGCTTCTTTTGGTAATCCTTGCCTATTTCCCTGCATCCTTATGGTGGATTTAGAAGGACTGCTGTGCAGGGTTGCTTTGGGGAGTGCAATCCTATCCCTGTGCTGAGCTGTGTGGGGAGCCAGGTGTCACGCTCCCTCTCATCAATAACCCACCATATGTCACTCTGCAGCAGGCTATGTCCGTATATGACATCTTATACTACATTCACCCTTCTTAAATTATTTTATGACCCTTGCTTTGATCTCCAGGGTACCCCTGATTTGGGAGAGTACAGAGCTGAAAACCTCTGGCCAGTGAACCATGCATTTCTCCCTTATGAGTTGCTTTCTTCTGACAAAAAATGGTGGCAAACCATAGCCATCAGTGAAAATCCCAATGCTGTTTTTCCGGGGTGATTAATATAGAAGCCAGCGCAATCTGGGCTTAGTTTACACTGTTGGCTATAATTAACCTTTTCTTTTTGGAAGTTAAGAGATGTAAACTTCTTCTTCATGAAATGGAAAGGCAAGAGGTATTTCAGAGGTTTTATGCCTTGCTTTAAAGCTGGTCCACATGGAAGGAGATAGAACAGGTATGTGGCCTTTTCAGCTTTTGTAGGATGCACAGAGAAGGGGCAAGAGATTTCCCTCCCTTCCACCACTGAGTGATGAGTATTTTCAATAGTGGCTTTAGTTAAAAAGGGTTGGGTCTTACAAGAAACATTTTTTCAGCCCCCTGCTGTGATCATTAGCAGCATTGAGGAAGATCAAGCCTGATAGCCTTCAAATGTTCAACTTACTAAAAGCTACCCCTCCTTTTCCTCAGTGCTCTCTCCTCCCTTGCCCCTAATAACACATTCCTGCTAAAAGCCATCCAGTCCCACCCTGAAATACAAGTGGTGCCGGTTCCACTCAGCCAACCTCCGCTGCACCTCGAGTGTGAGTGGACAGGGTCCCTGCCTTAATACATGGGATGTTTCATACTCCAGTAAATCCAGTTTAAACACTTGCTTTCCAAAGATCTTGGATCCAAAGGGCTTAGATAAAAAAAAAATCCTAAAGGAGATTTAATGCTTGATATACAAATGTGAAGATGCTAGAGCAATTCCAAATATATATTTAAGATATGAATAATTAAGTACCTGAAACCAGCAACAAATATGAGGAATGAAGGATGTGAATATGATGACTGAAATGAGTTTCCTTCAATTCCCAGACTCAGGACTGAGAAAAATGGGGAAGTCATCCCCAACCATCCTTAAACTCTCAACATTTTGGCCTAAAAGCAACAGTTGTAATAACAGAGAAATTTTTGTAAGAAATGAACCTCCTCACATAGAGCATGATCTGAAAATATCCTTATGCTATCCGCAGTGTTGGACAACTTGCCACCATCCTCCCCACCCCCGAGAGTGCCCATGGGATCGGAAGCTGAGGAGCATCCCGCATCCAGCAGGGCCGAGACAGGGTTGCTGCCACTCTCAAGAGCTCCAGCCAACCCCTTTGAATGCAGGTCCAGTGGCAGACTGGCTAGAAGGAAAATGGAATTTTAATTTCACTTTTTTTCCCGTGTCATCTTTCACAGCAGAGCAGGGCCTTGGGGGGGAAGGTGCTGTCCCCAGAAGCACAGCAAACTTCCTCCTAACCCTGTTGTGAAACGCTCAGCAGAGGAACAGTTGAACACTTGAAAACTTCAAGACTTTAGAGACTTGAAATAAGCATCTAAATTGTTAGATTTTCACCAGTTGGGGGGGGTGGGGGGCAGAGGGAAGTTTGGTGTCATTTTAATTGCTTTTAATCAGGGTTAAATTTAAAACGAGTCTTTTCAACAACAGAGTAATAAACCCGGAGGAAGAAGGTTAAGAAAGGGTTTGATTTGTCACGGGGGAGGGGAGGTTTCGGTGGGGTTTCTTTAGCCACCGAAAGGCTGCAGCGTTACTCGGGCGGGAGGCGGAGGGAGGGGGACGTGTCCCTCTGCTCTGCCCTCGTGAGGCCTCGCCCGGAGGCTGCGCCCGGCTCTGACCCGGCACAAGCAGGATGTGCCCGCCGGGCCGGCACGAAGGGGCAAGGAAGCAGCGGGCACAAAGATGCTCAGAGGGCCAGAGCACCTCTCCTATGGAGCCAGGCTGGGAGAGCCGGGCATGTCCAGCCTGGACAGGAGCGGGCTCCGGGGGAGGCCTCACTGCGGCCCTCCAGTGGCTGAAGGGGCCTATAGGAAAGGCAGAGAGCGATTTCTTCGCATGGGCAGTCAGCGAGAGGAAAAGGGGGAACGATTTGAAACCAGAAGAGGGAAGATTTAGATTAGATGTTAGGAAGAGCTGTGAGGGTGTCGAGACACTGGAGCAGGCCGCCCAGAGAAGCTGTGGATGCCCCATCCCTGGAAGGCGCTATTCCAGGCCAGGCTAGATGGGGCCCTGAGCACCCTGGTCTAGTGGATGATGTCCCTATCCATGGCAGGGGAGTTAGAACCAGATGATCTTCAAGGTCCCTTCCAAGCCAAAGCATTCTGGGCCTCCACGAGGGTGCAAAGAGGTCACCGGCTACCGGACCATGGAATGTTACCAAACGGTTGCCATGCGGGCTTCCGCACGGAGGGGTCAGGAGCCCAACACTCCATCGACAGTTGGCAGTTGGCGGATACTCTGCTGGGAAGCAGGTGCAGAGCCTCTGTCTTCTCTGTCCCTGGTGGGAACAGAAGGCGATTTGCTGATCATTTTCAAGAAAAATTCTCAACTAACTGTACAGGTGAGTGTAGATGATCTTTGAAAATGTTTCGGATGCTGTGGGGCTGTTCTGGGCTTCAGGTCCAGCTGCAGGTGTCTGGGACTCAAGTACCGGACTCAAGTACCAGACTCATAGATTTCCCCTCTAGCTTTGGGCAGAAACTGGTGACTCGGGAAAGGGAATCTTAGAGTATGTGTGGGTATTTAAGAGAACAGGCATTCCAGATAGGTAATCTCCTCTCTTCTTTTCTGATAGGTTTGGAAGAACATCATTCTCTGATTCCTAGAAATCAGGACTTTGTAGCCTGTTCTACCTAAGGAATCTAAGGGATCGATTGCTGTAACTTCCCTGAAATTCCTTTTTTGGTGTTTGTCCATCTGACTTTTCCAGTGGTTTTAGATCACAAGACACCATGAGCACAGTAAGTACTTTACTACTCAGTGCAAATCTGATTTCTGAAACATATTTTCTGGGGTACTTCTAGAAAGGATTTCAAGAGTTTTTAGCAAGTGCACGGGAAGATAAGCCTGTTAAAACTTTATGTAACTTCATGTTCTGGGATACTGAAGGTTTTGAATCTCTTGGGGTGCTAGCAATAGCTCAGAAATGCTTACAGTGTGAGCAACACCCTGATAGAATTGTGAACTAGTCTTCTTATTTGCAAGCCACTGGGATAGGCTTTTTCCTGGTGAGGCAACTGGTAAGAGGTCAGGGGTGGTGTCTTTTCCTTGATGCAATGGGCTCGGGTAGGAATGACCCAGAGCACCATTCAATGTGTATTCCAGCCGTTGTGGAGTTGTTTTCTGTGTCCTCGTGTACTTTCACTGGTGTTGCAAAACTGAGGGCCCCGTTAATATTACTCCCCCACGAAATGCTAAGGCTTTGTTCTCTCTTAGAATCGGCGAAAGCGCCGTGGAGGAGCCGTTAATTCCAGACAAGCTTCGAAACGAAGCAGGCTGCTGGCTTCTAGTGCAGGTGAAGCTTCAGCAGCAGAGCCAATAGACCTCGAAGAAAGTCGCGTGCTTTCTTTTGATCTTGGTAAGAACAGAAACTGCTTCTAGAGGTTTGACATACAGCTGAACATATGCTTTTGCCAGTTTCTAGGCCCTTTACTGGGGAGGAAGGGAAACATGGGATTTTAGGAAGTGCCACGTACGGCATCTCTAAACAACAAGCCTTCTCACAACCATTTGGGTTTGTGACTGAGCTGTGATACATTGTCCACTAAAATGAGAGAGATTCCATGCTCTCATGTGAAAGAGAATGAGAGAGAATTTCCACTAAAATGAGGGAGATGAGCTGTGTATCAAAGGTCCTCAAGTGCTGCTCAGACATCTGAATGAACTCTGATGAGCTGGCAGGTGCCACAGCTGCCACTACAGAGGGTGGCAAACTAAGTATGAGATCTCTGAAGCTGGAAGAAGATAAGGAAAAGCTAGCTGTGCCCCATCCCTCAGGGGAACATGTGCAGCATGGTACTGTAAAATTAGGATACCCTCTGTGATTCTGGTTCTGCTTTGGGTTTTGTTTTGGCTGTTTTTTCTGTCTGATAAACATTAGCCTATGTTAGATGAATCATCTGCTGGTGTGTACCTCCCGCAAGATATTGTTATCCAACAGGATTGTGTGAGAAGTTCAGCTGCTGTTCCTCTTGCACTGGCACCTGTGAAAAAACAGGGCTGGGAATGGTCTCTGTGGACTGTTGAGGGCAAAGCTGGAGTGAAATTTTGGCCACATTCCTGAAGAGAAGAGACCCAAGGCACAATTGAATCTACCTCAGCCTGTTCCACAGTGACAGCCCATTTCTCTTTTTCAGCTGTTGACGAAATCATAGATCTCACAGACGAATCTGCTGAGCCTGAAGTCATTGATCTAACTGGTGATGATTCTGTTGTGGTAAGTAATGAATGGCACACTTCTGTCCATCTTGCAGTCAAATGAGTTTTCTCGTGTGCTCCTGGGCCTATCTTCTGGCATCTAACTAGGTAGCCTGACCTCCAGGGTTGAAACACAGCTCTGATTTACCACTTTAGACAGAGTTACCAGTCAAATGCACCTCTGAACACATCAACACTTCCAAGTATCCCTTGTAGTGAAAAAGTAATTTAAAAGAGCCTGTTGCTCCAGAACTAGGGCACAACATTTACCAGTCATTGGTAATGTAACAGAAGGAGATGCAATTTAAAAGGGAAGTTGTTCCAGAGATACTCATCATACAGGCCAGGGATTTAAAGAAAAAGAGAAGGAGAGGACAGGAAGACTTTGACTCCTCAAATATTAAGTGTTTACCTGCAACATCCATTTAAGGTACTCCTGGTCACTGAGGTGTTCATCTAATATGAAGTGTTTATGGCTATCAGTGCTGAATTTGCCTGTTTAGGGCAGAAAGAGGGAAAGAAACACCTCCAGCCTAAATCCAATTGGGGAAGTGAAAGAGGGGAGCAGGGAGGAGGGGCTACATGTGGTTCCTAAGCTGCCTCCATTTCGACCCCGTTGCAGCAGTGGGAGCAGAACCAGGAGCACCCAGTTGTTTCCAGTGCAGCAGATAATTCAGTTGTGCTACTGACAAGTGATGATGAAGAGGAACCAAGAGATAATGATGGGTATGTGACAGATGAAGTGTCTTTCTACAGTCTAATTTCTGACACAGGGTAGAAATAGGTTTTTGCCAAGGCTTTGAGTTCTGCTTGATTCTGTGTGAAAAATTCAGACCTGGAATATAGTGGCCTGTCTGTTTTTAAAAGCCCATCCAAAAAACCAGTAAAATCCAGCAGAAAGCTTTTTTATCTCATTAAGGAATTAAGGAATGGATCTTACACTGTGGCTTGAGACACACTGAAATGCTTGAAGTACATAAAAGCTCTTGAAATGATTGTGTTGCTGGGCTGGGATGTTGCTAGATCAGAATAAGGGATGTTTTAATTTCTGACACTTTCTGTGTTGGTAACCCTCCATGCACAGTGAAATTAATGGCTGCATTTTCTTTCAAGTTCTCCTCTCTCTAGCACACGGCCAGCAGTTACTGTTACCTCTCCAATTTGGATAGAGGAGAACTCACAGGTATGGATCCACCTGTTGTTATCCTTTCAGCTTTATGGGAGGGCAAAGAGGACAGAGGGGGATCTGCACAGCTCAGCTGGCTGATGTGGGATGCTACGGGCAGCTGGCTTGAGCACAGACCTTGCTTTGGAGCTCCAACTAGCACGTCCCTGCAGGGACAGACCAGGGATCGATTGCTGTAACTTCCCTGAAATTCCTTTTTTGGTGTTTGTCCCACTGACTTTTCCAGTGGTTTTAGATCACAAGACACCATGAACACAGTAAGTACTTTACTACTCAGTGCAAATCTGATTTCTGAAACATATTTTCTGGGGTACTTCTAGAAAGGATTTCAAGAGTTTTTAGCAAGTGCACGGGAAGATAAGCCTGTTAAAACTTTATGTAACTTCATGTTCTGGGATACTGAAGGTTTTGAATCTCTTGGGGTGCTAGCAATAGCTCAGAAATGCTTACAGTGTGAGCAACACCCTGATAGAATTGTGAACTAGTCTTCTTATTTGCAAGCCACTGGGATAGGCTTTTTCCTGGTGAGGCAACTGGTAAGAGGTCAGGGGTGATGTCTTTTCCTTGATGCAATGGGCTCGGGTAGGAATGACCCAGAGCACCATTCAATGTGTATTCCAGCCGTTGTGGAGTTGTTTTCTGTGTCCTCGTGTACTTTCACTGGTGTTGCAAAACTGAGGGCCCCGTTAATATTACTCCCCCACGAAATGCTAAGGCTTTGTTCTCTCTTAGAATCGGCGAAAGCGCCGTGGAGGAGCCGTTAATTCCAGACAAGCTTCGAAACGAAGCAGGCTGCTGGCTTCTAGTGCAGGTGAAGCTTCAGCAGCAGAGCCAATAGACCTCGAAGAAAGTCGCGTGCTTTCTTTTGATCTTGGTAAGAACAGAAACTGCTTCTAGAGGTTTGACATACAGCTGAACATATGCTTTTGCCAGTTTCTAGGCCCTTTACTGGGGAGGAAGGGAAACATGGGATTTTAGGAAGTGCCACGTACGGCATCTCTAAACAACAAGCCTTCTCACAACCATTTGGGTTTGTGACTGAGCTGTGATACATTGTCCACTAAAATGAGAGAGATTCCATGCTCTCATGTGAAAGAGAATGAGAGAGAATTTCCACTAAAATGAGGGAGATGAGCTGTGTATCAAAGGTCCTCAAGTGCTGCTCAGACATCTGAATGAACTCTGATGAGCTGGCAGGTGCCACAGCTGCCACTACAGAGGGTGGCAAACTAAGTATGAGATCTCTGAAGCTGGAAGAAGATAAGGAAAAGCTAGCTGTGCCCCATCCCTCAGGGGAACATGTGCAGCATGGTACTGTAAAATTAGGATACCCTCTGTGATTCTGGTTCTGCTTTGGGTTTTGTTTTGGCTGTTTTTTCTGTCTGATAAACATTAGCCTATGTTAGATGAATCATCTGCTGGTGTGTACCTCCCGCAAGATATTGTTATCCAACAGGATTGTGTGAGAAGTTCAGCTGCTGTTCCTCTTGCACTGGCACCTGTGAAAAAACAGGGCTGGGAATGGTCTCTGTGGACTGTTGAGGGCAAAGCTGGAGTGAAATTTTGGCCACATTCCTGAAGAGAAGAGACCCAAGGCACAATTGAATCTACCTCAGCCTGTTCCACAGTGACAGCCCATTTCTCTTTTTCAGCTGTTGACGAAATCATAGATCTCACAGACGAATCTGCTGAGCCTGAAGTCATTGATCTAACTGGTGATGATTCTGTTGTGGTAAGTAATGAATGGCACACTTCTGTCCATCTTGCAGTCAAATGAGTTTTCTCGTGTGCTCCTGGGCCTATCTTCTGGCATCTAACTAGGTAGCCTGACCTCCAGGGTTGAAACACAGCTCTGATTTACCACTTTAGACAGAGTTACCAGTCAAATGCACCTCTGAACACATCAACACTTCCAAGTATCCCTTGTAGTGAAAAAGTAATTTAAAAGAGCCTGTTGCTCCAGAACTAGGGCACAACATTTACCAGTCATTGGTAATGTAACAGAAGGAGATGCAATTTAAAAGGGAAGTTGTTCCAGAGATACTCATCATACAGGCCAGGGATTTAAAGAAAAAGAGAAGGAGAGGACAGGAAGACTTTGACTCCTCAAATATTAAGTGTTTACCTGCAACATCCATTTAAGGTACTCCTGGTCACTGAGGTGTTCATCTAATATGAAGTGTTTATGGCTATCACTGCTGAATTTGCCTGTTTAGGGCAGAAAGAGGGAAAGAAACACCTCCAGCCTAAATCCAATTGGGGAAGTGAAAGAGGGGAGCAGGGAGGAGGGGCTACATGTGGTTCCTAAGCTGCCTCCATTTTGACCCCGTTGCAGCAGTGGGAGCAGAACCAGCAGCACCCAGTTGTTTCCAGTGCAGCAGATAATTCAGTTGTGCTACTGACAAGTGATGATGAAGAGGAACCAAGAGATAATGATGGGTATGTGACAGATAAAGTAACTCTCTAAAGTCTAATTTCTGACACAGGGTAGAAATAGGTTTTTGCCAAGGCTTTGAGTTCTGCTTGATTCTGTGTGAAAAATTCAGACCTGGAATATAGTGGCCTGTCTGTTTTTAAAAGCCCATCCAAAAAACCAGTAAAATCCAGCAGAAAGCTTTTTTATCTCATTAAGGAATTAAGGAATGGATCTTACACTGTGGCTTGAGACACACTGAAATGCTTGAAGTACATAAAAGCTCTTGAAATGATTGTGTTGCTGGGCTGGGATGTTGCTAGATCAGAATAAGGGATGTTTTAATTTCTGACACTTTCTGTGTTGGTAACCCTCCATGCACAGTGAAATTAATGGCTGCATTTTCTTTCAAGTTCTCCTCTCTCTAGCACACGGCCAGCAGTTACTGTTACCTCTCCAATTTGGATAGAGGAGAACTCACAGGTATGGATCCACCTGTTGTTATCCTTTCAGCTTTATGGGAGGGCAAAGAGGACAGAGGGGGATCTGCACAGCTCAGCTGGCTGATGTGGGATGCTACAGGCAGCTGGCTTGAAGCACAGCCCTTGCTTTGAAGCTCCAAGTAGCACATCCCTCCAAGTCACTTCTCAGGGGTGCCTGTAGAGGGGGATCCCTCGCCAAGATGGCACTGGAAGATCTGTGGGTTCCCGATAATTCTAGCAGTAATGGACTGAATGCAGACATCTGAGTCCTATTTGCCTGGCACCAACACAGCAGCCAGGCTTGAATTCTTTACTCCAACCCCTCTTGTGGCTTCCTTTCTTCAGCAGCTGTTCATGTCATACGAGTAGTTACGGATATCACCCTTGAATTTGACTGGTTAGGGCAGAAAGAGGGACAGAAACACCCCCAGCCTAAATCCAATTGGGGAACTGAAAGAGGGGAGCAGGGAGGAGGGGCTACAGGTAGTTCTAAGCTGCCTCCATTTCGACCCCGTTGCAGCAGTGGGAGCAGAACCAGCAGCACCCAGCTGGAAACCCAGTTGTTTCCAGTGCAGCAGATAATTCAGTTGTGCTACTGACAAGTGATGATGAAGAGGAACCAAGAGATAATGATGGGTATGTGACAGATGAAGTGTCTTTCTACAGTCTAATTTCTGACATAGGGTTGAAAGAGGTTGTTGCCCACAAAATCTGCTGCAAAATGCAGCAGAAACCTTTCTTCTCTGTTCGTGAAGTCATTAACAAATGGATCTTACACTGTGGCTTGGGACACACTGAAATGCTTGAAGTACATAAAAGCTCTTGAAATGGTTGTGTTGCTGGGCTGGGATGTTGCTAGATCAGAGAAGGGGATGTTTTAATTTCTGACACTTTCTGTGTTGGTAACCCTCCATGCACTGTGAAATTAATAGCTGTGTGTTCTTTCTGGTCCTTTTCTTCTAGCACACGGCCAGCAGCTCCTGTTACCTCTCCAACTTGGATAGATGACTACTCAGAGGTAAGGATCCACCTGTTGTTATCCTTTCAGCTTTATGGGAGGGCAAAGAGGACAGAGGGGGATCTGCACAGCTCAGCTGGCTGATGTGGGATGCTACGGGCAGCTGGCTTGAGCACAGACCTTGCTTTGGAGCTCCAACTAGCACGTCCCTCCAAGTCACTTCTCAGGGGTGTACACACAGGGAGGAACCCTTGCCAAGATGGCACATCTGTGGGTTCCTTGTTATTCTGGCAGATACTGACTGATTGCAGATACTCCAAGTCCTATTAGCCTGGTGCCAGTGCAGCATCAAAGCTGAATTCTTTACTCCACACCCCTATTGTGGTTTCCTTTCTTCAGCAGCCGTTCATCTAACATGGATTGTTTATGGCTATCACTGCTGAATTTGCCTCTTTGGGGCAGAAAAAGGAAAAGATTTGGCTGCAGCCTACATCCAATTAGGGATCTGAAAGAGGGGAGCAGGGTGGAGGGGCTTCACATGGTTCCTAAACTGCCTTTGTTTGTACCTCGTTCCATCAGTGGGAGCAGAACCAGGAGCACCCACTTGTTTCCAGTGCAGCAGACAATTCAGTTGTGCCACTGGTGAATGATGATGAAGAGGAACCAAGAGATAATGATGGGTATGTGACAGATAAAGTAACTTTCTAAAAGTCCAATTTCTGACATAGGGTGGAAAGAGGTTTTTGCCAAGGCTTTGAGTTCTGCTTGATTCTGTGCAAAACTCCAGACCTGGGATGTAGTGGCCTGTCTGGAAGAGAACTAACTAAAAAACCCCAAAAAATCCAGTAAACCCCAGAAGAAATCTTTCTTCTCTCTTCATGAAGTCATTAACAGATGGATCTTACACTGTGGCTTGAGATACACTGAAATGCTTGCAGTACATACAAGTTCTTGGAATGATTGTGTTGCTGGGCTGGGATGTAGCTAGATCAGAATAAGGGATGTTTTGGTTTCTGACAATTTGTGTATCACTAACCCCTGATGAGTGGTGCAATTAACAGCTGAATTTTTTTCTTGCTCTCTTCACTCTACCACAAGACCCAGTGCTACCCTTACAAATGTGCTGTACCAGGATTGCTTCCTAGGGGTAAGAATCCACATGTTGCCACCTTTTCATTTTCTGTGGGAGGGGGAATGGAGCAGGGGAGGAGCTGCATAACTCATTTGGCTAAGATGGGATGCTAGAGGCAGCTGGCTTGAAGCACAGCCCTTGCTTTGAAGCTCCAAGTAGCACATCCCTACAAGTCACTTCTCAGGGGTGCCTGTAGAGGGGGATCCCTCGCCAAGATGGCACTGGAAGATCTGTGGGTTCCCGATAATTCTAGCAGTAATGGACTGAATGCAGACATCTGAGTCCTATTTGCCTGGCACCAACACAGCAGCCAGGCTTGAATTCTTTACTCCAACCCCTCTTGTGGCTTCCTTTCTTCAGCAGCTGTTCATGTCATACGAGTAGTTACGGATATCACCCTTGAATTTGACTGGTTAGGGCAGAAAGAGGGACAGAAACACCTCCAGCCTAAATCCAATTGGGGAAGTGAAAGAGGGGAGCAGGGAGGAGGGGCTACAGGTAGTTCTAAGCTGCCTCCATTTCGACCCCGTTGCAGCAGTGGGAGCAGAACCAGCAGCACCCAGCTGGAAACCCAGTTGTTTCCAGTGCAGCAGATAATTCAGTTGTGCTACTGACAAGTGATGATGAAGAGGAACCAAGAGATAATGATGGGTATGTGACAGATGAAGTGTCTTTCTACAGTCTAATTTCTGACATAGGGTTGAAAGAGGTTGTTGCCCACAAAATCTGCTGCAAAATGCAGCAGAAACCTTTCTTCTCTGTTCGTGAAGTCATTAACAAATGGATCTTACACTGTGGCTTGGGACACACTGAAATGCTTGAAGTACATAAAAGCTCTTGAAATGGTTGTGTTGCTGGGCTGGGATGTTGCTAGATCAGAGAAGGGGATGTTTTAATTTCTGACACTTTCTGTGTTGGTAACCCTCCATGCACTGTGAAATTAATGGCTGCATTTTCTTTCTGGTCCTTTTCTTCTAGCACACGGCCAGCAGCTCCTGTTACCTCTCCAACTTGGATAGATGACTACTCAGAGGTAAGGATCCACCTGTTGTTATCCTTTCAGCTTTATGGGAGGGCAAAGAGGACAGAGGGGGATCTGCACAGCTCAGCTGGCTGATGTGGGATGCTACGGGCAGCTGGCTTGAGCACAGACCTTGCTTTGGAGCTCCAACTAGCACGTCCCTCCAAGTCACTTCTCAGGGGTGTACACACAGGGAGGAACCCTTGCCAAGATGGCACTGGCAGATCAGTGGGTTCCTTGTTATTCTGGCAGATACTGACTGATTGCAGATACTCCAAGTCCTATTAGCCTGGTGCCAGTGCAGCATCAAAGTTGAATTCTTTACTCCAAACCCCTCTTGTGGTTTCCTTTCTTCAGCAGCCGTTCATCTAACATGGATTGTTTATGGCTATCACTGCTGAATTTTCCCATTTGGGAGAGAAAGAGGGGTTACACCTCTGGGTCAAATCAATTAGAGACTGCAGAGGAAGTGGTAGAAGGGTGTTCAGATGTTTTCTGTCTCTGTTTTTACCCCGTTCCATCAGTGGGAGCAGAACTAGCAGCACCCTCTTGCTTGTTTTCAGGACAAAGCTGAGACTATTACTTTGAACCTTAACCAAAATAAGAAGTCTGTAGCCTACCATTCTTTGCCTGTTGTGTCGTAACTGCTTCACTGAGCTGGTGTTAGTATGGAACACCAGGCATGCACACCAGATTCTAATTGTATTTTCTTTTCTCTCCCTTCCCATATGCATTGGTGAAGCTTCTTGAAGGTGAGTTGACTTTTTCCAGTTGCTAATGGAATTGTCCGAAATGTAATCCTTAGTTTTTATTTGTCTTTTCCAACAGTCTCTAGTACCAGGGATTGAAAGTGCATTTAGCAGAAGGCAAAGGACAGTGCTAAAGCCTCTGGCCAATGTCTTAGAGAATGGATCCCATCTGTGTCTGCTAGCTGCTATCAGACACAGTGGAATATCCCTGCAACAGAAGTTGTAGCTGAATACTCTTGGGAAAGAACTTTAATTTGGTGACATTTTCTGTAATTTTAATTGATTAGTGCATTGTTACATGGACCTGGAGTTGCAGAGACCATTGTTGCATGCGGTTTCTGAGAATTCAAAAGTGAACAGCAGGTCTTGATCCTTCAGATGTTAGACTAGGCCACTCAAAATTGATCTCCTTTGAACTTGGGTGATAAAACTCCATTTTCAAGTTACCTTAACTGAGGAGGGAGATGATGGCAATTTCTAGGGAGACACTGCTTCAAGTGTTTTTATAATTTCCAAGGACTGTTCTCAATAAGACTCGTTTGATAGAAAGTGCCTTTGAGTGGGGAGGTTTCATTTAACACAGACAAAAAGAGGGCAACAGTTTAGCATCATACAGCAACAAGGAAGCACAGCAGCTCCAGAATGTACAGTTTTAGATTTAAGCATTTATTCCATCCCTTCTGAAACTTTTGGAACAAAGCACTCTGTGTTTTGCCAAGCCTTTTTCTTGTGTATGTGCTACGTCACCATGCTCCTTGGGAACTTGACTGCAGTCCTCTCTCCCCTATCACACAGCAATTGTTGCCATTCCTTACCATAGGATCACAGCAGACCGTATTAGTAAGAATAGTGTGAGAGACCTTCCCTTTATAGGGCATATTTATTCACAGGTAGTGTATCTCAGTGGACACTGAGAATCTCTCAGGTCACGTTTTAACTGTTTGTAGGCTGATTATAGCAAATGTTTTGTTTCTGTAGCAGAATAGTCTCAATGTGTGGAAGGGTTCAGCCTTAATATTTAGGAAACTACTTGGTTTGAGATTGCTTGTAACCCAGCTGAATAGTGTCCAATTCAAATAGGACCCATTACAAACTATTTACAATAACGTGTTTGAAGGATAGTTCCAGGGAAAAGGAGAGAGTAAATGATAGATCTGACTTACCAAAATTAACTTTCAGGGTATGAACAACAAAGGAGAAATCTTACACCAAGAAGCCAGCAACTGTTGGACAGCCCTGTACTGCGCAGTTATGATGAATATGAAACAGCAGATGATGTGACTGACGTAGAGTCTGAAGTGACTGACGTAGAGTCTGAAGTGACTGACGTAGAATCTGAAGTGACTGACGTAGAGTCTGAAGTGACTGACGTAGAGTCTGAAGTGACTGACGTAGAATCTGAAGTGACTGACGTAGAATCTGAAGTGACTGACGTAGAGTCTGAAGTGACTGACGTAGAGTCTGAAGTGATTGACATAGAGTATGGAGCGGCTGACATGGAGTATGGAGCAGCTGACATACAGTATGAAGCAGCTTATGTAGAGCCTGAAGTACGGAGATCACTGGACGAGGAACTGGCAATTTCAGAGTACGTACGCCCCGTGACCTACCAAAGAGTGATTTTTGCTTCTTTGAAGGCTTCACTTTACTTGTTTCCCTGCTATTACTTCAAATCCTAGAGCAGGGTGGCTGACTTCATCTTTCTCCCAGTGAAAACCAAGACACTGTTTCCTTTAGGACAGGGAGATCTGAACTCTTCCTTACATGCAGCAAACTGAGAGAGTTAAAGACATACAGGGTTCTTCAAAAGAAATGCATCGTGGCTACTCAGTGCAGTCAGATGATTATGTGACATTTTATATATGAGTAACCCTCGATGCCCAGTGGTATTAATGGCTGCTCTTTCTGGGTCTGTTCTCTCTAGGGAATGGCAACGAGCTGTAAGGTGCCCGATCTGCATGGATTTTTTTTCACAGGTAAGGATCCACATGTTGTCATCCTTTCAGCTTTGTGGGAGGGGTAACAGGGCAGAGGGGGAGCTGTGCAACTCAGCTGACTAATGTGGGTGCTATGGGCAGCTGGCTTGAAGCACAGACCTTGCTGTGAAGTTCCACAAGTCACTTCTCGGTGGTGCACATAGAGGGAGAAACCCTTGCCAAGATGGCCCTGGCAGATCTGGGGGTTCCTTATTCTAGTAATGGACTGATCCCAGATATTCCAAGTCCTATTTTCCTGGTGCCAGTAGAGCAGCAAACTCGAATCCTTTCCTCCCAACACATGTTGTGGTTTCCTTTCTTCCAGATTATACGAAGTGTCCGACAGGTTGTGTCAACCCAGTGTGGCCATCTCTTCTGCAGTCGGTGCATCGCTGTTGCCCTTGAGAATTCCAGGGCTTGCCCAACCTGCAGAACAGAACTCCCTCCCAGAGACTATCATCCCGTTTATTTCTGAGTACTTCTGTTTCTCAGGACAGAAGTATCCCCCCCAATCAGATGGATTTTTGGGGGTAGGTGGTGGAAAGACTTTTTTCTTCATGTACATAGTTCTTGTTGTATACAGTTCCATTTTTCCTGAGTTTAATTATAAATAAACTATTAATTTATTTAAATATAGTCAAGTCTGTCTGCTTATCTATGTTGGACTCTGCTGGTAGACAGAGACTTCTTTTAACAGGTGGAAATAAACTTCTTGGTTTGATCAGTCAGAAGCACTCGTTCTTTTCATCACCCTGTACTTTTTGATTTTGGGGGAAAAATGCTAAAGGCATAAGCTTTGTAGTTCTTGGGGCAGTGTGTGTTGTATGGTAAAAGGAAACGGGCAGTGCTTGGCGTGTGAGGGCTTCTGTTTCTCAGGAAAGACTCAGCTGAATGTTTTGGTGAAAATGTCCTGATTTCAGTACTTTGAGGATTGAAAGAGCAGCAGGTTGTGCACACGTCCAAAGAAAAATATTTTCTTTGAGAATATAGCTGTGTAAGCTGCTGTGTTCAACATTTAGCCTGCAAAATACGTCTTTACCTGTGAGGTAAAGACAAAAAGCAACCGCTGGGGAGCGCATCACCACCATGATCACTACCCTCACTACCATCATCACCACCATCATTTACCTTTCCCACTCTAAAAGGGAATTGTCTGCAGAACAAGGAGCCAGCAGCAGCTCCTAGACCCTGGCTGCTGACGTGGTCTGGCAGCGTGTCCCCATCAGTGACAGGGAGATACAGTGGACATCGCCAGCCAGTGCTGACGGCATGTACCTGTCCAGATTTTGGGAGAAAGCGTCCTGCTGAGCACACAAGTTGTTTCTCTAACTGCCTGCAGGCCTAAGCAAGACCTACACTTCCCAAGCTCTGCTTTCAGTGCTTGCAAACATCTCCATCTGCCAGCTGGCCGTGGTACTTCACAGCTCAGGGGCTGTCGCTGCTGAAACATCCTACCCTGCATGTGAGTCTTCCACAAGGGCTCATCCTGCATTTCCCCTTGAAAAATTCAATTTCATCAGTGGAGTTTTCAGATCCTGCGGATGGAAACCTCAGGGAAAAATAAACTGTCACGGACTTCAGGTGCCATTACCTACCCAACCACCACTGGATGTGGCACACTAAGGGTTGACTTAAGGGCATTTGCAATCAGAATGCCAAATTCCCTGCTGCTTGGAGAGGAAAGAAAAAATAAAGACAGTTGCATTGTTACACTGACATTTCTGGTCTATTTGGATTAAAAGATAAAAGTTTGCTGCAAGTTGTCATATCTGAAAAGCACTGCTTCCTTCTGTAAAGGAACTTTTTAATAGGTATTTTAGGATAGGAATTCTTTAGTCCTCTATTGCATTTTATGGATTTTACAGGTTGCATATTTGGAAAGATGTACTTTTACTTCTTCCAACAAATCTCACACAAGTTCAATTCAAACCTCTGCTTTGATTGTTGTTTGCTTGTTTTACACCTGCTCCATCAGCAGCCAACGGGCCTTTGCCAAACCTGTTAAACCAAACGTAAAGCTGATATGAGCAGGAGTCACCTACACAGGTGGGGGCTGGCAACCAAGACAGAACATGTGTCCAGGCTGAGAAATTGCATATATTACCTTCTCAGTAACCATCCTGTTTTCACAAGATAGCAAAAAAAATTTTCCTTTTCAAGCGAAAGTCCAGCCAACAGTCTAGAAAAAAAAACCAAACAGAAAGCAAACAAACAAACAACAACCCTCCCCAAACCAAACCAGACCAAAAAAAATAACCCAAAACCACACCCATGAGACAGCTGTGGTGTGAAATACAGGTTAAGAGCCACTCCACAGAGCATTTCCCCAGGTGAAATGACAGAAGGAAAAAGCCCCCCAAAGCCCCACCAAGAATCAGTGGGTTGGAGTCAAGACACCAAACTGCCTTAAGAAAGGAGAGCAAAAGCTGAGAGTATTATGGTTTAGGTTGGCATGTTATTGTCAATACAAGTAGTTGTAACCTAGCTCATTTCACATCTCTGTTATGAGGTAGCTGTGATAAAATGGATGGATGCAACATTTTTGTCAAGCCCAGTTGTTTTGGGGAAGATTATCTGCATGGCAGTAGATTTATAAATGTGGTGTGGGACCTATCTTCTCCCCTCAGCACCTTTTTGTCTCCAGGCTCATTTTAGCAGGGAAAGCAGTTCCAGATTTCCAGCTAAACCAGCCCAGGATTATCTCATGCCCCAGTAGCCTTTTTATGCATATGAAGTGACTGGGGCTAATTTTCTTAGTTCTGTGTCAGATGTTTTGTGTAGTTTCATAGTATTGCTTAACACAACAGACATAATCAAGAAAAGTAACATGATTGAGAGCCCAGACCTGGCATGCTGTAGGCTCACCTGTCAGAGGCTTGGGGTCATCATTTTTAGATGCTGACAGGGACGTGTTTTTCCCATGCAAGTGCACAGAGGTTGTCAGAGACCACTTCTATTAGCTGCCTCGAAAGAGAGGGAGGATTTGCTCCAGAAGTTTTCAGTATTTCTCTGGCACTTGGCTATGAAGTGCTGGAAATTGCAGGTCAGCTTAGCTAAACACAGACCAGTTTTGATTAATATGAGAGATGAATGCAAATGGCATGGTAGCAGTTGATGGGGCAGTGATGCTCAGAGGTGGCGAGAGGCAGTTTTGGAGGGTGATGCAACAAGTTTGTCTGCCAAATATTTCTGGTAAGGCAGCTGCTGGCAAATAGTTTCTGATAAGCCACAAACACCATGCAGTGGTGAACAATTAAAAAATAAAAATTAAAGGGGAGAAGTGAACATTATCCCAATATTAGCCTCTAAAAAGATGACCAGCAGTTACAACTTCCCTTGGTTTCCTGTGCGCCCCAAGGACGCAGCAACCCCGCTGACTTTTGCAGTGTCAGGATTTCTCCTCCTTATGCTTTGGGTTTAATTTAAGACCTGTGTAGAGATAGAAAGCTGAGCATGTGGGCAAAGCATCACACCTGACCCAGTCCTGCTCTGTCAAAACAGACTGTTGTCAGCAAAGCCACAAGGAGAAAGGCAGGGCTGTGTTTTCCAGATGCTGTAACCTGCTGCCCTGGAGCCGTAGGTTAGAGGGCTTCGACCCCTTGCACAAACAGTGCAAATCAATGTCGGTGGGGTTTTGGGAAATGGTTATTAATGTTCATGCTGTTTCCCCTCTTGGAGGACACAGAAGTGTTTTCAGAAAATTAAGGACTTTCACCTGCCTTGCATTGTGACTTGTGCCCTGCTGAAGTAGAATTAAACTCTCTCTTCTTCTGGAGGTGGGGACGTTTAGAGTTTATAGTCTTTGTGAAACTGTAAAAAGCTAGCAGAGGCTTCAGGATGCAACTCCAGGTACTACTATCAAGTTCCCCAGCCTTTAGAGAAAATTCTCCTCTGCTGACTGCAGGTCCTGCACACATGGCTTGCTTTACACCCTCCTCCCGTCAGAGACTTGATCCCGGGACAATTTCTGGGCATGACAAGTACATGTTTAAGGAGGGATGGCAGTCGGACTTGGCTTGCTTTGTAAATAAACACCGGGGGTGTGTAATGCGATAGCACGTATACTTGGCTCCAGCTGGGCTGTTTCTCTATAGTGTGTTGTTTTGGTGTTCTGGACCAGAAATCTGTAGGTTTGGTTTTGTACCAGTGACTCAACCACTAAACTGCTTAACTTTCTCCACAGTCAGCGTCTCGGAAAAGCCAAACACAAGCAACTCGGACTGCCTGAAAGCATTACATAGTCCTACTCCCTACAGAGCAGGGCACAACAGGTTTCTGGGAAACTGGGCTCTGCCTTTTCACAAAAGGAGGACAGATGTGCCCCGAAGCCCTCCTACACGATACCAACTGCTGTGCATACAACAGACCTGCTGGTTAATGATCTCGCCCATAAGTAATGTTTTAACCATAGAGTAGTTTTTGTTTGCTTCCAAAGCCACAAAGCCAAAGAGGAAGTGTAGGAGAACGTGGCAGGACAGCGGCCAGGAGCCTCATGACCTCATCTTTTTCCGCCACATGGGGATTGGTGGCTGTGCTTGGGACAGGGTTTAAATTCCCCAAGGTCAGAGATGTCAGGCAGTCAGGGGACAAGGGGAGAAGGACAGAGCTTCTGGGAGCCAACTGACTTGAGCTGCTGCTGGGATCACTAGGAGTGCTCTTGCTGCAGCTGACTCCTCCAGCACCAGAAAAGGTAATTTTTTTGCTTTTACTACCTGACATGTGCTAATCTGTCTGCAGCTTTAGTCAAGGAAACACTGAGCAGGAGATCTTTGAAAATTGCTTCACTGGGCAGGGACATTTGATGTTGCTCTGTGGAAAAAGGTGTGTTTTTATAGGAGCAAGGTTGCTTTAGCAATGCAAGGTATTATACATAATGACAATTTTAAACCTGCATGCTTATAGATGTCAGGAGGAGGTTATTGAAAACTCTGCCACTGAATCATGTGCTGCAAACTCAAAGCTGGTGCTTGAACACAGAAAGCTTTCTCCCTCATGTAACCACTGCCTGGCAGTGTCCTTGTTTTTTCTGGCAGGCTCACAGTTTGTGCTGCACAATCCTGAATGGATGGGACACTCATCCTTCTCTGTGTAACTTGAAATTGCAATACCTCTAGTAGAGTGTCCTGTCTCAGGGCCAGCCTTACTAATGCATTTTCAATATGTCCTAAGTAGCCTTTTTTTTCCTGCTATGATTTACCAAAGTTTTAAATGACTCTTGTTCATCAGTGAATTGGTTCAATTTCTCAGGGATGTTCCATGTCCTGGGAACTGGTCTGTAAGCACCAAAATTTACTGTAGCTCAGCACTCTCCTAATTTCAGCAGGAATTAGTAATTTATTAAATTGCTAAAACTGCAATGGAAGCAGATATTTCACGTTATCTCTTGTTTGGAAACACAGGTTATTTTGTTCAAACTTCTGGAGGGGGAAATAAAGGTCTATCAATAAAAGCAGTTTATGTTCATATCACTTTACTCAGAAACTCAAGTTAATAACCCTGAAAACTAGTTTTAAAATTGCTGACAAGAGAATCCAAACTGAGTTGGCTTTATGCTGTCTCTTCTGAAAAAAAATACGTTAAAGGAATGAAGATAAACCAAAGCTGATATTGAGAACACTTTGGCTATCACAAAGCTTTTCCTTTGCCTGTGCAAGTCATTAGGTGACAGGATTCAGTTCACCTTCTCAATGTGGCCACTCTCACCAGCTGCTCAGCTCTTCTCAGAGCCTCTTAAAAATTATTGCAGCTTTTGAGTAGCTAAGTCATGACAAACCAGCTGGGTGTGCGGTGGTGATGGAGGACAAAAGACAAAAATTAGTATGTGCAGGTTGGGTCCATAGCAGGGAGCTGTTCTCAGCACAGTGAAGTACACTGGGAAAAAGGAAAAACCTATGGCATTTTTGTGGTACTTTACCTTGTTGACTCACTGTTCCAAAATATTTTCTAGGTAAAACATCACAATGAAGGTGGCAGTTCTGTGTTTATGCCTTATCAGCATCACCACTGCATGGCCAGTGAGTAAATCACAAATGTGGATCACCAATCACTTGTATTATTTTCTTTGCATCTTAGTGAGAAATACTGATAAATGCTTTTTTCTTTTCTCCCTTCAAGGTGAGTAAATCCAAGCAGCATGCCATTTCTGCCAGCTCCGAAGAAAAATATGTAAGTTCCTTTTGTCTTTCTATTAATTATCTTTAATAAATACTTTTTGATTTTTTTTTTTGTTTCTTCTAATACATATTTTCTGGTACTTGTTTTATGATTGTAGATGCTTGCAGGGCATGTCCTCACCTGGCTGTTAGGAGCCAGTTTCATAGACTTTTTCCTGTGTCTGGTGTCCTGGTTGAGGACTTTCATTAGTTCTATCTCTGGACCAGCACTGCAAACCTTTTGTCTTAATGAAAAATGTGTTAGTTGCCAGTTAAAAAGAGAAAAGGACTATAGCATGGCACAACTACTACAGCCCACATTTGTTAGTGTGGATCAGATGACAATATTTGGTGTTGGAAGAGCACTTTAATCCAATTCCCATGATTTTTTGGAGTGATGTAAGTGAACGGTATTAATTTTGTATATAGCTATTTGATTTATACTCCACTGCCAGCTGCTACCCATGTAAAATCAATTCTTTGCTCTGAGAATCAACTACTGCACTTAGTTTAGAGTCTTCATGATGAGGGAGATAAATCACCCTTGGGAAAAGGACCCCAGAATTAGCAGAAACAATGATTGTTAGATATAACTCCAAATTCCACTCAACAAAAACAAGCTGGAGAAACTGACCTGAAATTCCTCAGGCTCTGCCAATGGCAGAGGCACATCTTCTATATTGTATTCTTTGGGTATAATGTTCATCATGGCTTGTTTCTGAGTCCTCTTCCTACTGCACTGAATAGCTGAGGGCACATCCTGTGCAAAAGGAGTATGTATTGCAGATGCCACCTCTGCCTGAAAACAGAGGTTGTGATGCAGGCAGCTTTGCCTGATGCTTTGTGGATTAACCTCCGTCTCCCCCCCTTTATTTTCTCTCAAAGGACCCCAGGGGCCATCACTTGCACAGATATCACCATGACCGTGGGAATTCTCAGTCTTGGGAGAGTCAGCAGCACACACAGACTGACCTGGCATCACCTCAGCAGGTATGGGCAGCTAGCCAGAAGAGAAAGCAGGAGCATCTTTCCATGACAAGATGTACAAGTTAGGATTAAGTGCTTAAACAATAGTCAACACGCTAATCAGCTCTACTGTACGTGCCTTTTTGAACTAATAGGGAGGTTTATATTGCTTTCAGACCCTTTACTCTTCAGAAGAAAGCGTGGATGTCCCAGTGGAACCGGTAAGTGTTTTGAACGACACTATGTCAGTCGAGTGCTGCAGGGCAGCCAGTGTGTAGCAACACCAATTTTCCTCATTCAAGTGCAGTTCTTGCAGTAGCATCTCTCCCTAAATAGCATCTCCTCCTTAGGCAGGGTGAGGTGAATTCAAAGACATGCCTGCACATAGCTCCCCAAAACTGCATAAGCCCTGGGCTAGCAGGACAGATACTAGTCTGCACATCTCACATCTGTGTTCATTTGCCTGATGCATAATAAATGTTTTCCAGCACTTTCCTGATGTGTCAAGCAAAAGCCATGAAGATGTGAATGACAATGATGATGACGATAATGATTCCAATGACACGGATGAATCCGATGAGGTTGTCACGGGTTTTCCCACAGACATTCCAGTCACTGTACCATTCCCCCCATTCCCTTTCACCCGGGGAGACAACGCCGGCAGAGGCGACAGCGTGGCCTACAGGATGAGGGCAAAGGCTGCACTGGTGAAGTCTATCAAACTCCGCAAAGATGCAAAAAAGGTAAACAGCACTGAGCAGTGGTCCCCATGGTTTTGGAAATGGGTAGTGAACTTGAAGATGGACATGTTATTTTATGGGAGTCAGCTTTGAGAAGAATTGGTGAGGGGAAAGCAGGCATGAGCGAAGGAATCTATTTCCCTTGTCTGGATACCCCAAATCAAGGGGTGTTGATGGTGCCAAGGCAAGAGTGTAGCCTGCTGCTGCAAGATATGCAACACTGCAATGATGTACTCACACACATGAAATCTGAGGACAGGATCAAATGTTAATTTCTCATAATGTGAAGGGTTCATGTAACTCCATAAAAGTTAGTGTTTCCAGGCAGAGATTTACCATGCAAGCTTTGAGTGTCCCCTCAGCCTAAGCAGCTTTAGTGCAGTAGGGCAGCACTTGTTGATAGATAATTTCCCAGGAGTGACAGTGGCTCTTGTTTTGCTCTCTAACACAGGTCATGTATGATGCCACTGTGGAAGATGAGAGCGATCTGGATGCAGACAGCCAGCGAGCAGGGTTCTCCCAGGAGGATTCTGCTTCCCGCCGCTCCCTGGAGAAGCATGCCATCAGTGTGGAATGGTCTGACAAGAGCCACGGGCAGGACAGCAGCGAGCTGGACAGCAATCAGCCTGACCGGAGCATGGAAAACGACAGCAGGCAGAAATTCGACAGGCATGAGGCACACACAGCTGCACAGGTTTTCCAGTGATGTATCTTGAAGCAGCATTGTCATTGAGGAAACCTGCTGAACTCAGCCTTTGGGTATTAAACCCCTTGAGGAAGCCGCCTTACCTCTTCCAGAGCTGTGATCTCCTCCTGCCCAATTTCACTATCATGATACTGCTTCAGGCCAAAGAAGTTGCAAAGAACTGCTACAATGCTTCTTAAAAGAAGTCTAAAAAGCAATTATGAGCTTTGAGAAACCATTTGAAGGGGCAAGCATTAGTCCAAAAGGCATCTTTCACAGGTTTAGAAGCTGGGTACCGCAAACAGGGTGTTGGGCACCAACCTTTAGCACTGAGCTTAAAAAGGAGTTTTGAACTGTATGTTTTTAGGTACAGAGCTTGACACCGACTGTGCAGAGCAGGCCAAGTGGTGCCCATCACCAATAGCTCTGCTCAGCACACAGATACTTTCATGGCTGTGCAGGGACAGCAGGGGCAGCCCGGAGAGGCACAAGTCCCCCTTATAACACCATGTTTTTTCAGAAGAGGGCAAAAGCAGACTGCTGGAGGGAGAAGCTGAAAGCAGTACCTCTCAAAAGAGGAACACAGCTATAGAAGAATAATGATTTTTCCCCTCACCTCTTGTAGTTATTTAGTGCCATCATCCCGTGCCAAGGAGCAGGGACTGAGATGGACTGAAATACCACCCAGACCCCAGCAAACCCCTCCTCCCAGTGCTCAGCCTTCCTGCTAAGCTGACAGCCAAACCTGGGCAACTGGAGGGACCCTGAGCACATCCAGATTTTTGGAGGATGGAAGATGCTCCAAAGCCTCCATCCTTTGCCAAGAGAAGCACTTAGGGCCATTGAGAAGGGTGCAAATCAGTCTCAGCAATAAGAAACCTACCTGAGTTTTTCTTCTGCAGAACAAGCCACTCACTACTGCCTCCCACCAAGGGCTTCAAAAATGTTTTTACTTAATTCAAACTGTCTCAATATGTATTTCTCTAATAGACCATCCACCAGCACTTCCCCGTTAAGAGATTGGGAAATGTATTCCGAGGTCACAACCATTGCTATAGTCAAGCAAAGGCACAATTTGACACATGAATTGCAATGCAATTCTCAGTGGGACTAGTAAAAATTATTATAAGTGAATATTATCATCTTTTCGGGGCTTCTTTTGGTAATCCTTGCCTATTTCCCTGCATCCTTATGGTGGATTTAGAAGGACTGCTGTGCAGGGTTGCTTTGGGGAGTGCAATCCTATCCCTGTGCTGAGCTGTGTGGGGAGCCAGGTGTCACGCTCCCTCTCATCAATAACCCACCATATGTCACTCTGCAGCAGGCTATGTCCGTATATGACATCTTATACTACATTCACCCTTCTTAAATTATTTTATGACCCTTGCTTTGATCTCCAGGGTACCCCTGATTTGGGAGAGTACAGAGCTGAAAACCTCTGGCCAGTGAACCATGCATTTCTCCCTTATGAGTTGCTTTCTTCTGACAAAAAATGGTGGCAAACCATAGCCATCGGTGAAAATCCCAATGCTGTTTTTCCGGGGTGATTAATATAGAAGCCAGCTCAATCTGGGCTTAGTTTGCACTGTTGGCTATAATTAACCTTTTCTTTTTGGAAGTTAAGAGATGTAAACTTCTTCTTCATGAAATGGAAAGGCAAGGGGTATTTCAGAGGTTTTATGCCTTGCTTTAAAGCTGGTCCACATGGAAGGAGATAGAACAGGTATGTGGCCTTTTCAGCTTTTGTAGGATGCAGAGAGAAGGGGCAAGAGATTTCCCTCCCTTCCACCACTGAGTGATGAGTATTTTCAATAGTGGCTTTAGTTAAAAAGGGTTGGGTCTTACAAGAAACATTTTTTCAGCCCCCTGCTGTGATCATTAGCAGCATTGAGGAAGATCAAGCCTGATAGCCTTCAAATGTTCAACTTACTAAAAGCTACCCCTCCTTTTCCTCAGTGCTCTCTCCTCCCTTGCCCCTAATAACACATTCCTGCTAAAAGCCATCCAGTCCCACCCTGAAATACAAGTGGTGCTGGTTCCACTCAGCCAACCTCCGCTGCACCTCGAGTGTGAGTGGACAGGGTCCCTGCCTTAATACATGGGATGTTTCATACTCCAGTAAATCCAGTTTAAACACTTGCTTTCCAAAGATCTTGGATCCAAAGGGCTTAGATAAAAAAAAAATCCTAAAGGAGATTTAATGCTTGATATACAAATGTGAAGATGCTAGAGCAATTCCAAATATATATTTCAGATATGAATAATTAAGTACCTGAAACCAGCAACAAATATGAGGAATGAAGGATGTGAATATGATGACTGAAATGAGTTTCCTTCAATTCCCAGACTCAGGACTGAGAAAAATGGGGAAGTCATCCCCAACCATCCTTAAACTCTCAACATTTTGGCCTAAAAGCAACAGTTGTAATAACAGAGAAATTTTTGTAAGAAATGAACCTCCTCACATAGAGCATGATCTGAAAATATCCTTATGCTATCCGCAGTGTTGGACAACTTGCCACCATCCTCCCCACCCCCGAGAGTGCCCATGGGATCGGAAGCTGAGGAGCATCCCGCATCCAGCAGGGCCGAGACAGGGTTGCTGCCACTCTCAAGAGCTCCAGCCAACCCCTTTGAATGCAGGTCCAGTGGCAGACTGGCTAGAAGGAAAATGGAATTTTAATTTCACTTTTTTTCCTGTGTCATCTTTCACAGCAGAGCAGGGCCTTGGGGGGGAAGGTGCTGTCCCCAGAAGCACAGCAAACTTCCTCCTAACCCTGTTGTGAAATGCTCAGCAGAGGAACAGTTGAACACTTGAAAACTTCAAGACTTTAGAGACTTGAAATAAGCATCTAAATTGTTAGATTTTCACCAGTTGGGGGGGGTGGGGGGCAGAGGGAAGTTTGGTGTCATTTTAATTGCTTTTAATCAGGGTTAAATTTAAAACGAGTCTTTTCAACAACAGAGTAATAAACCCGGAGGAAGAAGGTTAAGAAAGGGTTTGATTTGTCACGGGGGAGGGGAGGTTTCGGTGGGGTTTCTTTAGCCACCGAAAGGCTGCAGCGTTACTCGGGCGGGAGGCGGAGGGAGGGGGACGTGTCCCTCTGCTCTGCCCTCGTGAGGCCTCGCCCGGAGGCTGCGCCCGGCTCTGACCCGGCACAAGCAGGATGTGCCCGCCGGGCCGGCACGAAGGGGCAAGGAAGCAGCGGGCACAAAGATGCTCAGAGGGCCAGAGCACCTCTCCTATGGAGCCAGGCTGGGAGAGCCGGGCATGTCCAGCCTGGACAGGAGCGGGCTCCGGGGGAGGCCTCACTGCGGCCCTCCAGTGGCTGAAGGGGCCTATAGGAAAGGCAGAGAGCGATTTCTTCGCATGGGCAGTCAGCGAGAGGAAAAGGGGGAACGATTTGAAACCAGAAGAGGGAAGATTTAGATTAGATGTTAGGAAGAGCTGTGAGGGTGTCGAGACACTGGAGCAGGCCGCCCAGAGAAGCTGTGGATGCCCCATCCCTGGAAGGCGCTATTCCAGGCCAGGCTAGATGGGGCCCTGAGCACCCTGGTCTAGTGGATGATGTCCCTATCCATGGCAGGGGAGTTAGAACCAGATGATCTTCAAGGTCCCTTCCAAGCCAAAGCATTCTGGGCCTCCACGAGGGTGCAAAGAGGTCACCGGCTACCGGACCATGGAATGTTACCAAACGGTTGCCATGCGGGCTTCCGCACGGAGGGGTCAGGAGCCCAACACTCCATCGACAGTTGGCAGTTGGCGGATACTCTGCTGGGAAGCAGGTGCAGAGCCTCTGTCTTCTCTGTCCCTGGTGGGAACAGAAGGCGATTTGCTGATAATTTTCAAGAAAAATTCTCAACTAACTGTACAGGTGAGTGTAGATGATCTTTGAAAATGTTTCGGATGCTGTGGGGCTGTTCTGGGCTTCAGGTCCAGCTGCAGGTGTCTGGGACTCAAGTACCGGACTCATAGATTTCCCCTCTAGCTTTGGGCAGAAACTGGTGACTCGGGAAAGGGAATCTTAGAGTATGTGTGGGTATATAAGAGAACAGGCATTCCAGATAGGTAATCTCCTCTCTTCTTTTCTGATAGGTTTGGAAGAACATCATTCTCTGATTCCTAGAAATCAGGACTTTGTAGCCTGTTCTACCTAAGGAATCTAAGGGATCGATTGCTGTAACTTCCCTGAAATTCCTTTTTTGGTGTTTGTCCCACTGACTTTTCCAGTGGTTTTAGATCACAAGACACCATGAGCACAGTAAGTACTTTACTACTCAGTACAAATCTGATTTCTGAAACATATTTTCTGGGGTACTTCTAGAAAGGATTTCAAGAGTTTTTAGCAAGTGCACGGGAAGATAAGCCTGTTAAAACTTTATGTAACTTCATGTTCTGGGATACTGAAGGTTTTGAATCTCTTGGGGTGCTAGCAATAGCTCAGAAATGCTTACAGTGTGAGCAACACCCTGATAGAATTGTGAACTAGTCTTCTTATTTGCAAGCCACTGGGATAGGCTTTTTCCTGGTGAGGCAACTGGTAAGAGGTCAGGGGTGATGTCTTTTCCTTGATGCAATGGGCTCGGGTAGGAATGACCCAGAGCACCATTCAATGTGTATTCCAGCCGTTGTGGAGTTGTTTTCTGTGTCCTCGTGTACTTTCACTGGTGTTGCAAAACTGAGGGCCCCGTTAATATTACTCCCCCACGAAATGCTAAGGCTTTGTTCTCTCTTAGAATCGGCGAAAGCGCCGTGGAGGAGCCATTAATTCCAGACAAGCTTCGAAACGAAGCAGGCTGCTGGCTTCTAGTGCAGGTGAAGCTTCAGCAGCAGAGCCAATAGACCTCGAAGAAAGTCGCGTGCTTTCTTTTGATCTTGGTAAGAACAGAAACTGCTTCTAGAGGTTTGACATACAGCTGAACATATGCTTTTGCCAGTTTCTAGGCCCTTTACTGGGGAGGAAGGGAAACATGGGATTTTAGGAAGTGCCACGTACGGCATCTCTAAACAACAAGCCTTCTCACAACCATTTGGGTTTGTGACTGAGCTGTGATACATTGTCCACTAAAATGAGAGAGATTCCATGCTCTCATGTGAAAGAGAATGAGAGAGAATTTCCACTAAAATGAGGGAGATGAGCTGTGTATCAAAGGTCCTCAAGTGCTGCTCAGACATCTGAATGAACTCTGATGAGCTGGCAGGTGCCACAGCTGCCACTACAGAGGGTGGCAAACTAAGTATGAGATCTCTGAAGCTGGAAGAAGATAAGGAAAAGCTAGCTGTGCCCCATCCCTCAGGGGAACATGTGCAGCATGGTACTGTAAAATTAGGATACCCTCTGTGATTCTGGTTCTGCTTTGGGTTTTGTTTTGGCTGTTTTTTTCTGTCTGATAAACATTAGCCTATGTTAGATGATTCATCTGCTGGTGTGTACCTCCCGCAAGATATTGTTATCCAACAGGATTGTGTGAGAAGTTCAACTGCTGTTCCTCTTGCACTGCCACCTGTGAAAAAACAGGGCTGGGAATGGTCTCTGTGGACTGTTGAGGGCAAAGCTGGAGTGAAATTTTGGCCACATTCCTGAAGAGAAGAGACCCAAGGCACAATTGAATCTACCTCAGCCTGTTCCACAGTGACAGCCCATTTCTCTTTTTCAGCTGTTGACGAAATCATAGATCTCACAGACGAATCTGCTGAGCCTGAAGTCATTGATCTAACTGGTGATGATTCTGTTGTGGTAAGTAATGAATGGCACACTTCTGTCCATCTTGCAGTCAAATGAGTTTTCTCGTGTGCTCCTGGGCCTATCTTCTGGCATCTAACTAGGTAGCCTGACCTCCAGGGTTGAAACACAGCTCTGATTTACCACTTTAGACAGAGTTACCAGTCAAATGCACCTCTGAACACATCAACACTTCCAAGTATCCCTTGTAGTGAAAAAGTAATTTAAAAGAGCCTGTTGCTCCAGAACTAGGGCACAACATTTACCAGTCATTGGTAATGTAACAGAAGGAGATGCAATTTAAAAGGGAAGTTATTCCAGAGATACTCATCATACAGGCCAGGGATTTAAAGAAAAAGAGAAGGAGAGGACAGGAAGACTTTGACTCCTCAAATATTAAGTGTTTACCTGCAACATCCATTTAAGGTACTCCTGCTCACTGAGGTGTTCATCTAATATGAAGTGTTTATGGCTATCACTGCTGAATTTGCCTGTTTAGGGCAGAAAGAGGGAAAGAAACACCTCCAGCCTAAATCCAATTGGGGAAGTGAAAGAGGGGAGCAGGGAGGAGGGGCTACATGTGGTTCCTAAGCTGCCTCCATTTCGACCCCGTTGCAGCAGTGGGAGCAGAACCAGCAGCACCCAGTTGTTTCCAGTGCAGCAGATAATTCAGTTGTGCTACTGACAAGTGATGATGAAGAGGAACCAAGAGATAATGATGAGTATGTGACAGATGAAGTGTCTTTCTACAGTCTAATTTCTGACACAGGGTAGAAATAGGTTTTTGCCAAGGCTTTGAGTTCTGCTTGATTCTGTGTGAAAAATTCAGACCTGGAATATAGTGGCCTGTCTGTTTTTAAAAGCCCATCCAAAAAACCAGTAAAATCCAGCAGAAAGCTTTTTTATCTCATTAAGGAATTAAGGAATGGATCTTACACTGTGGCTTGAGACACACTGAAATGCTTGAAGTACATAAAAGCTCTTGAAATGATTGTGTTGCTGGGCTGGGATGTTGCTAGATCAGAATAAGGGATGTTTTAATTTCTGACACTTTCTGTGCTGGTAACCCTCCATGCACAGTGAAATTAATGGCTGCATTTTCTTTCAAGTTCTCCTCTCTCTAGCACACGGCCAGCAGCTCCTGTTACCTCTCCAATTTGGATAGAGGAGAACTCACAGGTATGGATCCACCTGTTGTTATCCTTTCAGCTTTATGGGAGGGCAAAGAGGACAGAGGGGGATCTGCACAGCTCAGCTGGCTGATGTGGGATGCTACGGGCAGCTGGCTTGAGCACAGACCTTGCTTTGGAGCTCCAACTAGCACGTCCCTCCAAGTCACTTCTCAGGGGTGTACACACAGGGAGAAACACTTGCCAAGATGGCACATCTGTGGGTTCCTTGTTATTCTGGCAGATACTGACTGATTGCAGATACTCCAAGTCCTATTAGCCTGGTGCCAGTGCAGCATCAAAGCTGAATTCTTTACTCCAAACCCCTATTGTGGTTTCCTTTCTTCAGCAGCCGTTCATCTAACATGGATTGTTTATGGCTATCACTGCTGAATTTGCCTCTTTGGGGCAGAAAAAGGAAAAGATTTGGCTGCAGCCTACATCCAATTAGGGATCTGAAAGAGGGGAGCAGGGTGGAGGGGCTTCACATGGTTCCTAAACTGCCTTTGTTTGTACCTCGTTCCATCAGTGGGAGCAGAACCAGGAGCACCCACTTGTTTCCAGTGCAGCAGACAATTCAGTTGTGCCACTGGTGAATGATGATGAAGAGGAACCAAGAGATAATGATGGGTATGTGACAGATAAAGTAACTTTCTAAAAGTCCAATTTCTGACATAGGGTGGAAAGAGGTTTTTGCCAAGGCTTTGAGTTCTGCTTGATTCTGTGCAAAACTCCAGACCTGGGATGTAGTGGCCTGTCTGGAAGAGAACTAACTAAAAAACCCCAAAAAATCCAGTAAACCCCAGAAGAAATCTTTCTTCTCTCTTCATGAAGTCATTAACAGATGGATCTTACACTGTGGCTTGAGATACACTGAAATGCTTGCAGTACATACAAGTTCTTGGAATGATTGTGTTGCTGGGCTGGGATGTAGCTAGATCAGAATAAGGGATGTTTTGGTTTCTGACAATTTGTGTATCACTAACCCCTGATGAGTGGTGCAATTAACAGCTGAATTTTTTTCTTGCTCTCTTCACTCTACCACAAGACCCAGTGCTACCCTTACAAATGTGGTGGACCAGGATTGCTTCCTAGGGGTAAGAATCCACATGTTGCCACCTTTTCATTTTCTGTGGG